CCTGACGAGCACCAAGGAGTGGGCCGATTTTAAAGCTGCGTACCCAGTCATCGTCGACACCATGCTTGGCGCCTCCCAAGCCCAAACCCACTCGTCGACGCTGTCAGTCTGGGAATAACATGTAAAGTGAGAGCCCCTGAGTCACAGTACAGTATAATTAATGTGTGGAGTTAAGATTTTGATTTGTATGATGTTGCATTTACCTGTTTCGCTCTTAGAGCCGTGTTTCTAAACCGCCGTTTTTCATCGGTTATACATTTCAGTGTCAGTGTATCCAAATATTGGGATTCATTTTTTGTCTTTGGATCGGTGTCAGCATGATCTGATCTGTACCTGTTTGGTTGGCTATCGGCCCTCCTGTTATTGATTGTGATTGACCATGCTTAGTAAAGTTTTAAGTTTCCGTATTTGGCGTTGCGGTATTCACTTTGAGGCTACTGTCTCTCACGCCCCATTTTCCGTCACACACATGCCGCCGCGCGGTCCCCCATCTCTCCGTCGGCCGAGCACAATGTGTTCCCTACCCACCAGGGAGCCAGACCCAGACAGCCATACCGGCTGGGCGCTCGTAGCATGGCGACGGCTTTCTCAGGAGGACAACATTTCAATGCGATACCCTAATGACAACGGTTTAGAAAGATATTTTTCAAAACGTCATTTATTTGTCGTTTTAGACGAGCTTGGATAAGTACTCTGGTGTATATCGGTGAGCCCCCGCGCGCGCAGCACGCGAACAGTAAGTTTGGTTGCCTACTCGCTGGGCGCGGACGCTGGGGAGGAGGGGGGAAGCCAGCAGCCCGCGGCGCTCACCCCTCCAGCCCCCGCACTCCACACTTCACCCTCACAGCTGTGGCCGGTAGCAAGTTAGTACCGGAGCTGGAAGGCTATTCCCCAATAAAGTGTAGTTTCATTCATATTTGTTTACAAGTTTTGGCTGCAGACTTCATTCGATCAAACACTTTATTCGAAGCCGTCATATTCCGTTAATAGTTGGAGTTGGTGGAAACCTGGTGAGTGGACGCTGGGCGCTTCGCAACACGTGTGATGAAGGGGTTATGAGGGACATGTCATGTCATTGCCATTGTTCCTTTTGTTTCTTTGGGACCAGGATGTGCTTACCTCACTTACTGTACATTCCTTTAAATGGGAATTATTTTTTGTGATTACAATAGAGTTAGTATTATGAGCCAAGACATTTGTTTTCTTGTTTCTCTTAGTAATTCAGTGTCTGATGTGGAAGCTTTATGTCCAAAATGGTACTGAAACAGTGCAACGTTCCAAAAGTTTGTTTGAAATGAAATAAACAGCTGTGACGTACATTGAAGCGGTTCAATTTCCTTAATCTGATGAAGTTCAAGAGTCTACGTAATTTTATTGCCTATGCACCAATTTGAGTGCCAAGCGTTGTCGCTTATGCACATGTAAACAAACATTTGACTAACAAACTGATTTCAATTACCGTTTCATTCAAAAGTTGCATTCAGTTTCATATTTTCATTTCTTATTTTTGCGTCAACAAGCATGGGCATGGCATATGGGTATAGGTTCTTGCCATAGTGATTGCTGAATTTCTCAAAGTAAAGGGTTTACCTCCGCAAAGGTTTACTTTATTTTTAAGCTCTCCTAACCGTCTTGAATTGTGCCACACGCACCCAACTTTAAATCCCTAACTCCCTCTTTCTCACGTTTGATTCAGGGCCCACCGACTCCGGAGGCTCCGAAGTGCTCGCACAACTCCCAAGAAGTTTAACCATGGCTGCTGAACGCCATGCTAGCATGCCCCTGCTGCTCCTCGCTGAGCAGACAGTCGATGGCGCGAGCCTGAAAAAGTCATCGGAGACCACCCGCACCCACCTGGCTAAGCTGGAAACGAAGGACAAGCGCGTCTCTTTCGTGCCGGTGATGGAGAGGAAAATAGAAAAGGACGCGGGCTCCGCGTGCGAGTGCCTCTCACTTGATCTGTTCTGCTCACATACAGATGCAAATTCGCTCATGATTCAGTGCAAGATGACTGTTGAAGACTACGACTTGAAATCAACCAAAATCACCAACCAAACAATTAAAGAGGAAAGCTTTGTTCTGAAAGATAGTGGCCATAATGCTGGAGTGGTGTCCCTAAAGACGAACTCATTACACAATAAGAAGGTGACCGTCCTCTTCATGGTGTACTCCATCTCGGCTCCGCACCCCGCGACTGGCGCCGGCCTCCACCTCAACCGCGCGCGCTCGGAGGGCACCTTATGCGACGTGAAGCTGCTGGTCGACGGCGTGGAGCTGCCGGCGCACCGCGCGGTGCTGGCCGTTCGCAGCGCGGTGCTGAACAGGATGCTGACGGGGACGGGCGACTTCAAGGAGGCCCGCGAGGGCCGCGTCGAGCTGGTGGACACGTCGGCGGCGGCGGTCGAGAAGTTCCTCGAGTTTCTCTACACGGACCGCATCGAGGTATGGCATGACAGCGAGCTGGATCTGCTGCACCTCGCCGAGAAGTACATGGTGCCTGAGCTGCGCACCGAGTGCTGCTTGAGGCTGTGGAGCTGTGAGCCTCCCCGGGCCCTGAGTCTGCTGAACGCCACCGCCCTTGCCACCGGAACCACCATCAGCAGCGCGCTGCGCCAACGGCTCACGACCATCGTGGCCAACAACTTGCAGACCCTGACGAGCACCAAGGAGTGGGCCGATTTTAAAGCTGCGTACCCAGTCATCGTCGACACCATGCTTGGCGCCTCCCGGGCCCAAACCCGCACGTCGACGCTGTCAGTCTGGGAATAACATGGAAAGTGAGAGCCCTGAGTCACAGTACAAGATAAATTAATGTGTGGAGTTAGGATTTTGATTTGTATGATGTTGTATTTAGCCGCTTTTTATTTTTTGAGCCCTGTTTCTAATCCGCCGTTTTTCATCGGCCATACATTTTAATGTTAGTGTTTCCAAAGATTTGTATTATTTTTTGTCTCTGCCTCGGCGTCAACACGATCGGATCTGTTCCTGTTTGTTTTGCCTGCTTTTATTGATTTTGATTGACCCTGTTAAATAAAGCAATAGTGTTCTGTATTCGCACTCTAACCTTTTATTTCCACGAATAGAAACAGTCCAAAATTTTGCACACCTTTCTGCGTTGATCTAAAGATTTTTGTGTATAAATACATTTTTACGAAACAAAACGTAAGTTGAACTTAGCACGAAAGTTTGCACAAAAACCGAGACAAAGACAAACATGTTTACATTTATCGTGTGGCGTTACGGTAGTCTCTTTGAGACTGTCTTCTCTCTCGCTCTCAGCAAGGAGGTCCTCCCTCACTTTCCCTTGGCTCACACGCGCGCCGCGCGGCGTAGCCATCTCTCGGTCGGCTGAGCACGATGTGTTGCCTACCCGGCGGGAGCGAAGGCCTGCTTGCTTGCCGCACGATCGCGCACCGACCATGTCGGGCTGGGCGCTCGTGGTGTTGACAATGTTCTGATTCGATGTACGATTAAACAGGGTTTTTGAGTAAGAAATTCACGAAAATGTCGTACTTTGTATGTTTCCGAGTTTCACGGCGAATGGGCTGCAACTCCTCATCCGAGGGGCCCCCCACTGCAGTGACAAATGGCACGTCGAAACGTTCAAAAAGGCGCCGAAACGATATCTGCGCCCTCTTTATAACGTTTTTCCTGTTGGTTTCGCGGTGTTGGTCTTCCCCCGTGATCGGCCGGGCGGGATGCGCGTGTGTGGGGAGCATGCGTCAGCGCCGGGCGGGGAGGGAAGGACGCGATTACACGTGGGAAGCAGGCTTCCACTGCAGGCGCGGGGCGCGGGCTGTGCTGCTGGGCTGTACTAAGTACAGTGCCTGCATGGAGGGACCTGTGCAAGGTGCGACGAGACTGAGGTGGAAGGGTTCGCACTGACCTTGTTGTGTTGGCGCGGAGCCGGCCGGCTAGAGGAGGAGGCCCGCAACGCACATGTCTAATGATTCATCGGACACGTTTATATATTTGCTCTACTTTGACCCAGATATCTATATGCCGCGATAAAATGGCCGTGAGTCACGTGGAAGGGCCGCGTGCCAACTTATCGGAAGCGCACACTAGCGCCAGACTCATCTACTGCCGTATTTTTGCGCGTCGCATTCGTTCACCGAGCGCACCCCAATAATAACATTTGAGCGGGCGCGGTTTGAAGTCTGTCTGTCGGCGGGGACGATTTGCTGTGGGTTGCCTACATTCAGGGGTTTTGTAGGGAAAATTGCCTACCTACCCTAGGAGGCGACCGGGAGGAGGGGGGAGGGCGAAGGGGCGACCCCCCCCCCTCCCTCCCCTAATAAAACCGCACCTGCATTGGAGCGAAAAACGAAATGGTCTAAATTGTGTTTCTTTTGGTTCAGGCTACGGCACGTTCAGTGGTGGGAAGCGAAACTGTGCGCTCACCACATGGTCCATGAATTCACCGGAAGGTTGCTGATCTTCCACTTACCGTCGTGAATATCATACTGTTCTGTATGAGGCTCGTAAAGGAGTTTTGCCCACTTGCAAGAAGAAAGCGGCGTTACATTTTTCAAACCCGAACTTCTTTACCCATTCGTATCTGTGAAGGTTTTTCATTCGCCCTACGTTGAAAGGCAGACCGGCGACAGGTGTATTTCATTCACAACAGCTTTTCGCTTTCCGGGCTTCCGTTAGGGCAATGACCCCCTGATCTTCTCGAAGCGTCTCGGATCAGCATCAAAGGTAGAGGGGTGGAGGCCTGTGTGGCCTGTGGGCGGTCTGGCGCAAGCGGGGGCAGGGGGAGTCGGGTCGGCTCGGGTACAGTCACCTCCTTCCAGACCGTTCTCCGCGAGCCTCGGCACGACCAGGTGCCGGCCGGTGCTGCACTCATGTCAGCATGACGAGAAGTGTTGTGTGCGGGTGCGGGTGACGCACACTCCGGTCTGCCCGGCCCCATGCCGTGTCATTCCCGGACTCCGAACTGCTACCAACCTTGTAGCCACTCGCTCGGCTTTTGTCTAACCCCGATTCTTCCGCATACAATATCACAATGCTCCAAATTACGTACGCCATCCCGCGGCAGGAAGACATTCGGTGGTTTCGCGGGATAACTACTTCCATTTTTGTCATGGATCCGTGACTTTTGTCGCCTAACATGTCGCGGTAGTCTTGCGTGTGTTGGCAATTCGCAGACAGGCCGCGCGAGCGCGCTCTCCCCACTCTCACCCTCATGCCCCCAAATGGCTGTCCAATTGATTTATTCGAACTAAATCATTTTTTGCGTGATACCACATTGCACGGCGAGTATAGATACATAGATGCTAATTTATGATTAAAGTGCTGATTGGTTTAGAGCCGAATAAACCCGTAAATTCTAGATTAGCGTAACGCCACTCTTCTCATAGTCCTCTTCGCTAGCCTCGCGAGGGGTTCCATATCCGCTCTCTCGTCGAAGCGTCTGCTGGGGGGGCAGGGTGTTGTTTTTTGTTTATCATCATCAGTTGTCTGCTTCTCGCGAACCAGTCAGCACGTCTCGTAGGCTTGCACCACTAAACAGCGATTTGCGTTAGTCTGTTGTATAAATTGAAGACCCTTCGCAGCGGAGCCTCAGTGTTTAGCTGACTCCCTCAGCGTGTTCACATCCCTAACGTTGACCTCCATCATTGGATCAGAGATGTGAGTATCCTGCCTTGTTATTTCTACCCTTTGTTCTGCGCAGTGACCAACAGCCGAAGGATCGATTGATGTCTATTCATTGTAGTGTTGAGGATATTTAGAAATTTACCTTAACACTTTCTTCTTTCATCTTTCTCGTAGTTTCTTTGATGCGTTCCTGAATCATTTTGTATTTCACGAGCGATTTCGGCCTGAGCGAGATCGGTTCTTGCTTTTACCGGAGCGGCCATAGGCCACATATTGCGTCACCTGCTGCGGGTTTTTTTTTAATTTCAAGAAAATTCTATTTTCAACTTTGGCATTCTTTTATACGCTTCCAACATAGAAGTTCTCATGACTCACTTCCTATCAAAACTTGAACCACACTTTGGCTTTATTTACCCTGGTAGTGGCCTTAAGTGAATAAAGGTGTATTCAAATGAACCCCATTCCGCTTGGCAGGTGAATAGAATTCGGTTTCGTTGCAGAGAGACTCGTTTGATGCAAACCGGTTTTGATAGTTCGGCACAAATTAGTCAATTAGTGCTGACGTTGCAGGTCAGGCGCGATCGACGCATTTGATCAAACAAGCACTATGTAGGCCTAGGCTAAGGGTCCTCCCCCTTCCTCATCACCCACCCCTCTCCTCTCCCGGAGCTCGCTATCGGCGTATGCTACTTATGCATGAGGCTGGTCAAGGACCAACTATTTTCTATTATGGAAGACTTTGGGACACACACAACTTACTGAATGCGACTGATGCCATTGTTTCAGGTGTAGTCTCACAGAAAAATGGCAGTATTTAATAAAGTATTATTTTATTTAAGCCCTAGTGACTTTTTAAATTTATTAACTATTTGTCAACAAGTACTTTGATATTGTCGCACAAGGGGTTGAAAGCATACCTAAGAAAATGGAGGAGCGTCATAGCTCATGTAGATTTAAATTTAAAAAATAATACAGTAATTAAAATCAAACCCTTTTTCTTTTTACATCAAACTTTATTTTCTTTTTATTTTAGGGCGTCCTCCTCAGAGACTCCTAATCAAAACACCAGCTCGACGGCCTCAGTTTCCTTCAAGGCTTATTATATGGTGAAAGATGATGACAAGCCAAAGGAAGTACGCCGTTTTGGAATGGAGCAAAATGAAGTGACTAGCTTTGAGTTGCTCAAAGAAAAGATCCGTCAGGTCTTTCCTGTTCTCAAGCGTACTGATCTTTGTACTCCAGAATTTACTATTACTTGGAAAGGTAAGAAAGAGGTTGGACCAAGAAAATTTACAGGTTCTTTAGTTCTTTATCTTTATTTATAGTTTTTCATCTTTTCCCTCAGACTTTGAAGGTGATGACATCATCATTTCATCAAATGAAGAGCTTCTCACTGCTTTGACAGAAACATCTGATCAAGTTCGTCGCCTGTACATTTCTACAAAGAACCCTGCATCAGGCATTTTTGGATGTAAGTCCTCAAGTATTTTAATATTTAAAATTCCATGAATTTTATGAAAGTAAATTTGTGAACAAGATGTGATCATTTTCTTTTTGTAAATTTTATTCTTCTCCTTTACAGCTCCATTTGAATGGAAACCTGTGGTGATTGAGAGTAAAAGGGCATTTTGCCCTCGTGCTTCTAATGATAAGAGTGGTGCAAATGATTCAGACGACTCTGATGACTCTGGAGAAGAGTTGGATGATGTATTGGCTTCGTCTCCCGGAAGGAAGAGATCTTGGCATTCAGCTGTCCGTGCCTCTGTGAAGCATCATCCCAATGTATGTTGTGATGGCTGTGAAAAGTATATAGCTGGTCATCGTTACAAATGCTTGGAGTGCCCTGATTTTGATCTTTGTCCGGATTGTGAATCCCAATTGATGCACAAAGATCATATCATGCTCCGCATTCCTTTATCCATGAGCCATTATACCAAGGTAATTTCATTCTCAAGTTATGTAATTTTAAATTCTTTTTTAGAGGAGAGTCACAGTCTAATGGTATATACTTGTTTCAGCTTAACAACTTCTCTAAAAGCATGCGTTACATGTCAGATACTCTTTACAAAATTGACAAGCGTTACAAAAAGCAGGAGCGCCGTCGTAAAGCCTTTGAATCAGCTCACTGCTCCAGACCATGTGGTCAAGTTGACTTTGCTGATTTCATTGATGATGTGCTTCAAACTGCTAAGCGAAGCAAGCGTGAAGACAGAGAGTCAGATAAGAAGGATAAGCGGGAGAGAAAGGAATCCCGTGCCACCACCTCATCTGCATCAGCTCGTGGTTTGTAATCCTAGTTAATACTAGATACGTCACTGCAAATATTGGACTCTTGTGGCTCCAACAAAGAAGTTCAATATTTTATTCTAACTCAATCTGTAACTATTTGGTCTTATTTCAGCTGGTGGTGCTAAAGCAAAGGCCTCAGCTCCCGGCCAAGAGTCATCTGCTCAATCTGCTCAGTCAGCCTCTTCTGATAATTCTGGACGCAACCAGAATGGTGGATGCCCCTTCTCTTATAATGCCTCCAGTCTTCTTGGTTCATTCTTGAATCCTGAGACTATCGGCAATCTACTCAATCCTCAAAACTTGAATACATTGCAGCAACTGTTTGAGCACATGTCACCAGGTAAACAATTTCTGCATTGAACAAAATAATCTAACAGCTGTTAGATTGCATTCATAACTTCAATCTATTTTCTTACAGTTCCTGAGCAAGTATTAAAAGAGGTATCACAAAATTTGGCCAAAGTGAACCTAAATGATGAGGAACATGCTACTACAACTGCTGCCTCTGCTCCAACCTCTCCTCCTACCAATCCATTCGCTGTGAACAAGTCAAATGCCTCTTCTACTGAAGAGCCTGATGGTGCAATTCCATCTACTTCTACTTCTGGTCAGGAAGTGCGCAAACCTGTTCAGCCTCAAGCTACAGTCCAAGTGTCCTCAAACCAGCCTGATGTCAATTTGTCTGGAAACTCCCAACCTCAGTCTGGTCGATCCTCCCGCTCTTCAAGTGAGGAAGCAGATACCGAGGGATGGATGGTTGTCGATCGAAAAAGTAAGTTTTGTTTTATTTCCTTTCTACATCCACTTAAATAGGGTTCTGTTCACTTATATACTTCTTCATGTTCTTCAGTGAAAGAAGGTGCTGCAAGTGCAGATCAAACCACTGTTTACCCAAAGCTTCCAATTGTGGAGCCTACATCCATTCCTATTGTTGAGCCTGTACAAGCACCACTTCATAGTGGTAAGGAATCATGTTATTAATTCTTCAATAACTTCTACAAAAGTTTTCTTCAAAATGTTAAAACTAATTCTATGTTACAGATCCTGATGTCGATAAATGTCTGCGGGACCTTGCTGAAATGGGATATGATGCCAAACAGAAGATAATCATTGACTTGGCAGTGGAGTACAAAGGAAATGTCAGCCGAGTTCTTAATGTGTTGCTTTCTTAATGTCTTTCACATTACCTACCATAAACTAGGTACATCTTAAACCTAACTGATTCTCTGCATAGCTATGGGTTATGGTGTTTCTGTTTCTATAGATATTTTATTCCAGTAATCATTCATGTTACTTAGTAGGAATAAGCCCTCATTTTATGGATGAAATATGGTGTTTTTAAGTAGGAGTTTTAACCCTGAACTTGGACGTTGCCTTTCTACTGAAAAAGTAACTAGTGTAGACGGAAATATTGTGACTACTGCTGTACTAGTACTATGCGTTTATCAGAATAACTTTTACTGCAATGGTTTGGTTTCTTTTGTTAGAATGTAAAATGGAATGAAAATTTAAACATTCTTCTTTTTTTTTTTTTCCGTAAATAGTATTAAAAGAGTACAGTACTTAGCAATTACGTACTGAACTTAAACTGCATCTTTGAAGATGCAAACAATCATTTGACTTCTACGCTTCGAAGGGCATTAGGACGCGGATAAACTTCATCACAAACTTTTCAATGACTTGAGAAAAATTTACTATTTATGTGATAAATGTGATAGTGATATCCCAGATATCTGTTAGTTTTAAGAATACTTCAAAATATTTGTTGTTAGTATGAGTTAAGATTATTTTTGTTTTATTGAAGCAATGTGTTTGGTAGTATGTATGCAAGGTATGTATTGATTTCATTAATTTTGTTTACTCCTTGTATGGTCAGTGCTTGAGTTCTTGTCCATCAGCAACTTTCTTTTCTCATATTTTTCAATGTATGTGTGTTGATTTAACTTTTCTTCTAAAGTGATTAATAAAGATATCATCTTAAAGTCTGTAAGGTATAATTCAATGACTTCAGTTACATAGTCTCAAGATAATACATAACAGCCATTTATGGAACCAATCTGAAATTAAGGCCTTCTGTGACTAGCTACAAAGGTTCACTGCCATAATAACAAATTTCCAAAGTAATAATAGAACATTACACTACATTGTGTATTTTTTTTGCCAGGCAGCAAAGGACTTATATTATCACCAATCTTTACATAAGAAGTATAAATATAAGGTGCATGCACCTTAAATTGTAACAGGTTTTGGCACAAACAGAACAATGAAACTCATCTCCAATTCCAAAGCAACAGTCAGGTCACACTACAACATGACAGCACAAACATTTGGGTTTGGCTTTGGCAAGAATATCCATACACAGTACAGATTTCTAGGGTAAAAGAATACTCCAACTTCAAACAAGGACCTGAGTCAAACAAGACCATAAAAGGTTTGTTAAAGCAAATAATGTTAAGTCTCCTTGACTTCCGTTGCATTAATTTGACTAATTTTATGGGACAGCTAACTTTTGTGGGCCACACTGTAAAATGGGAATGTCAGAATAGAAGGATTACACACTATACATGCATACTATTTCAGTACTAAAAACTTGGATAAATGCATAGTTTTTGACTTAGCTCCAGCCCTAAGATGACAGAAAAACTAAATTGGAAGACTGAAGAAATCAATATCAATCTAAAAGATAAATATGTGGGTAAAGGGCAAGATAAACACAAATACGTACATAAATCAAAATAAAGGAAACAAAAACATTAACATAATAACTCTTAAAGAAACATTTTAAAATTTAATGGAATTGTACTCGAATATAAATAATATCTAGATTCTACAACATGTCTAATTTATATAAAATTGAGCCATATAAGAGCTCCCTCTAGGGAATGAAACAGAATGAAAGACATTGGGAGTCTTCACCAAAAAGTATGTAACACCAAAAACAATCCATTGTCACACTAAAAAGCTGTTTTAAAATTCGCTTGTAGTGTTTGTTTTGTAATTACATATTTTGTGTTTTAAAACTATGTAATAAAGATTAAAAATGTATGTTTTGTAAAACCTACAGAACAGCACAAATTTTTAAAAAGTTATAAAATTGCATATTAGAGTACATTGTTCATGAATGAATCATGTTCAGGATACAGTGTTTGCCTGCTCGTATGTTTTAACAATTAATCTCCATTTCTGTGCTTTGTGTACTTTGTACCCACACAGTATATGCAACTCCAAGAAATAATGCCACATTTCACGCTTGCGTTCACAAGCATCCGCTCATACCTGTAAGATATATATATTTATATACCTAAGCATGATGCCCAGTTTGATGATAATGAGCCATGGATGCTGGTGGAGGTGGTGGGAAACACCTCACATGCTCTATTGAAGTTGAATCAATCTCACTTGACTTCAGGAATTTATTCAGAATGGCAAATATTTGAGAGTTTAAAACTTGAAACCGACGAATTCTATCCACCATCCTTTTCAGAGGCTGTGAAAAAAGACAAATACAATCAACAAAAAATGTACCAAGAATGTCAAGTTTAAAATCATGCACATCTTGCGATCTATACTCACAATGCCCTTGACTACTTCATCCTTTCCATCAACACGCTGCACTCTCAAAATGTGATAACAGAAGTCAAGAGCCTCAAATCTCCTTTGCTGTCCAAGCAAAACTATCATGGTACAACCAGCCCAGTTGAGACCCTCTCCAAACAGCTCCCTATGAAACAGAAAAAGGTTTGTGCAATCGCAAGTGCGGGTGAATTGTAGAAAAACTTCACAAAAGATAAATTTGCACAGGTACAAAAACTTACTCTACTGTGAATTCAGTATCCCCAACAGGGATGCAGTAGACAAATTGCAATGCTGACCACAGTCTATGGAACTCAGAGCATTCATCTACATTCATAACACCATTGGATGGGGGTGGACCAGCCCATATGGGATCATCTAGAAAGCTCTTTAGGCGAGTTAATACCACCTCAAAAATTGACAGTCCACAGCACAATCTCTCTCGGGTTAATAAATCTCCCTCACGAGAAATCATAGCTTGCTGAAATTTAAAGTGAGTTATGATAACTGCTGTTTGTGAATAATGGTTAAATAATGAGACTTATAAGATGTAACAGTTTCTTACTTTAGCAGTTCCTAAACGTTCTATGTTAGGAACAATTTGAATGGCTGCATATTTGCCTTCCAATCTCTTTTGTTTTGTTTCAGGTTTTTCTCCCTCTGACAAAAAAATTTAAAACAAATATTTTTAAAACAATGAAAACAAAGATGGAAAATGAAACATGGAGTAAAAATAAGACCATTTTGCTGGCAGCCGACCGAGAATCGGGAGCAGTGAAATGGTCTGTTAAAGAATGGCATCTACCTTTGCAGAAAGGTCGTGGCAAAATATTTTGGAAGGGAGCAGCATGAAGTAAGTCACACACTTCTTCTTGAGAGAGAGCTTGCTCCAGTAGAAGACAAAGTAAAATTGTATTACCAAGCTCTCGGAAATTGTGGAATAACTCAGTTTTTGCATCAGGATACTGAACTATATCATTAAGCTGAGCATGGTAGTAGCCCAAAACACCTTAAAAAATGCCAAAGTATTGCAATAGTTAAGTGATGTAATATAACTTATACAGGCAGGGGAAAATCCCAACTTTAATGTTTGCTTCGCTTACCTGGAGAGCCATAATCATATCTTGGCAACTTGCAAAGTTTAGGCATTGCATCCATCAGTATCTTAGTAAACTGAAGAAGATTTCCTTGAATAAGACTTCTCACAATCTTTAAGAGTTCTTCCATTACCACAGCAATACCCTGATAGCCAAGTAAACGGCATAAAGTACGGAAATGGTAGGGTCCAACAAAGCCTGTAATTGTACCAAATGAAATATTTTAATAATACCAAGCTCAGTTGTACAGTATCATAAGAATACCCCCAAAAGTTTATTACCAGTGTACTGATCATGGATGGCTGAAAAGGCTATGTTGAGCTGTTTGCTACCCCATAAATACTGATGACCCATTTGAGGAGGTTTGTCTCGGTGTACAGGCTGAGTGAAAAAGATCCCCCGACATTTGACAAATCTAAAAACAAATGTGAGAGTTTTAACTTTTTTCCCCACATATTTGATAAAGGCACATACATAGCATGTTCACCAAAGAAGCAAACCTGTTTGTGGCTGCATTATAGCAGTAATTAGGTAGGAAGTCATAGTTCAGCTCCCAAAACACATGTAATGTGATTCGTCCATAGGGAGCAAGCACATTATGGTTAGCTTCTCTAAACATAGCATCATAATCATCTAATGCTAGAAATTTGGACAGGAGCTTGTGACAAAAACGATTAACTTGTAGAAGGCTTTCCAGATCCTAAAACAAAAAAAAAAGATAATAAATAACATTAATCTTTGTCCACTTTCTCCTTTTTTTTTGACAAAATAATTGTTTTTGAATACAAAGTGAAGAAAATTTACCACAACACCAGTAATATCACCAGCTTCAAATTTACTTATGGCCAGATCTAAGGATTTGTGCATGTCAGCATTAATACGCTGTGTAATGAGTCTGTTAAGATCAATAGAGCGCCCCAACAGGAGAACATGTCTCTGTTTCAAGAGTGTCTCATATCGGTTAGCTCGGGGGTATGGAAGATAGGCACCAGTTGCTGCACATTCACTTCTGAATCTTTTGTCCAACAAAATGCTAAAAAGAAATATGGTAAATTTAATGAAGAACACATACTACGTTCTTTCACCACTACAAAAATTTGATTTTTCTATTATAAATTATCTATAAAATAGTTCACTCTCACCTGCTGGCAAGCTGTTTGTAATGAGTAAATATCTGTTCACTGAGTTTGTACACAAACTGATCAAAGCACAGATTGACTTCAGCCTCAACTTCATCATATAAAAATTGCTTCCGGAACACTGTTAAAGCATAATGAGCACTGTCATTATACAAGTCCAAAGGATAAAGGACATATCTGAAAGAAAGAAAATGTGTATCGTTAAATTTATTCATTGGAAGACAATGTTTGAACATTTATTAGAAGCTTAATTTTAATTTTAAAAACTTACTCCATCATTGATGGTTCCTTGTTGCGCAAAATTTGGTCGGTTAAAATCCATGGCATGGACATCTCAATAGGAAACTGAAATTAAATTCAATCCATGAATTAGTGAATAAAATTCTTGATGACTAACTCCTGAAGATTGGATTAAGATTGTGAAACAAGCAACCATTAGTATTACAATCTTGGTTCATTAGGCTGTTTTGCAATTCCTCACAATGACAGACACATACTCCAACGCACACAATTTAAAAAAAAATTAAAAAAACATCAACAGAAACAACAACAACAACAACAGAAACAACAACAACCAAACGACCACCAAAACATAAAAGGAGAGGTCTTTACGAACAAATCAAAACGATAAGCTCAAACTGCTTAACCGCCACCTAAAACTTACTGACATTCATGCAAATCAGGCGTACTACCTAACTAGGTGGTTAGGAACAGTAAATACATATAATAAAACTAGTTACTGTTATCAATAAAACATAGAATAAAAGAAGTTTAGTTAATTATAAAGTTGCCGGATGCTGGCAAGTATACTGGTTGTCATACAAAAAACGCAAATAAAACACAAGGACTAGACGGCAACGCAAAACAACAATACATAAAAGCACAACACTTCTTCCCACTGCAATGCAATTAGGATGTTAAAAAAATTTCTATGATCTTGGTTTTGCTGGACGACACTGTAGTAGAAGTGTCTGGGTGCAACTATACCTTTTAATTTGATTTAAGGTATCTAATAACGTGCCAATAAAGCTCACTAATTAGCCAGAAAAAAACAAGCAAAATTACACCTATGAAACCGTACAATGAAAGAGTGCAATCTACTATACTTAGAAGTATTAACACGCTTCCAGGCTACTTTAGTACCTGAATTCTTTTTTCCATTGTGATCAAGTCGGTGCATTCATCATTGTGTTGGTGTTGTACCATACATTTCTAAAAGAAATCACGTTGTTTTTTTTTAAATACAATTAAACACATTAAGCTAATTTATTTATGTGTACAGAAATGGAAATGACTTTTGTCTGAGTTGAAAAATTCCTATTATTATGGTTGAATTAAATATGAGTCAAGTAAGAACTCACGCATCAAACCAAGTTTAAAGAATCTTTACCTGTATGCGCCGCCCCATTGTCATTTCCAAGTAGAATTCTCTGTACCATAATTGGGATAGGTCGCAGCATTCTTGGAGTGACTCTGTAACATGAGGGTGAGAGACATAAGAAGAAAGTTTGTTGAACAGAGAAATACACAAGAAGGTGGATTGATGTGTATACATTTATGCTCTGCAATAGCACTTACCACTAAACTTGAGGAGGTAGCTCCAATAGAATGATGTTTTGTGGAACTGGTCAATTTGAACTAGAAATTGGCCGTCAATATCTTTACGAAGTGTTCTTTTACCTCCTGATTTGTCCGCAATAAGAGATTCTAGCATTGTACGAACCATATAGAGTTGGGTTGAGGATGGACCCACATTCCTACGAGGAACTTTGATTCCAAACCCACTCTCTGGATCTTTCTTTCCTTTCAAAGCTGGGTCTCCAGGAGGTTCTACACCTCTTTGCCAATCTGCACAGGTTTCTCGAACAGAGAGAAGAATGCTTCTAATCAGGTCCTTCTTATTTTTGACTGCCTTTCTCAGAGGCTCCCTCAAAAACAGTTGGATGAAATCTTGAAGTTCTGCATAAATATTTCTACGGATAGAATCAATGAAAACTGATTCCATACGAGCTATCAAGACCTGCAAGCCCTTTATCATTGCAATAACTTCAATAAGAGCATACTTTTCTTCATCACCATAATTATAGCGAGTAGCTCGTTCATATTCTTCTGCTTCAACAGGACACTGATTGTTCTGGTGATGGTCAGTGGGATGAAGTAGCTTCCATGAGTATAACTCTGTTACAACACTTGTCCACTCTGACAAAAGTTGAAGGCCTCTTAGAGCTAGATCAGCAGTGTCCTTGTTCTCAGCATCAGTTCGTGATTCCTTGTAAGTTGTTGTGACTTCATTGCTGTACCTGGCTAACTCTGAAATATACTTTTGGTGATCTTCTCGTATCTGGGGTAAATGCACCATTAGATCTGACTGAGGGCTCATTGCAGATGAAGAAGATAATGGCCACTTTCCTGGTTCATAATGTTTACTTCTCTTAATATAGTTGAATGGAGCAATTTGCATGTCTCCAAAAAGAGGAACAACTTCCAAGTTCTTAAAAATGCGGTCAATCTTGGCAAGATTCAGCTTTTTACGTTGATCTAATTTAGAAAGAGCTAGTGGCTCACCATCCATTAAAAACAGACCAAAACCCATGACTTTAACAAGCATGTGTTTTTCATGTGGAGCCAAGTACATGCGAGTCTCCATCATATGCACGCAGAGAGAAACCACATCTGAAAGCAAGTCCTCAAAACCAGGAACCCTTTCTAAATTTTCTTTAACTGTGTCACGGATCTTGTTTTGAGTGGCCAGGAACATGGATAAGTTCTGACTTTCTTGCAAGGTTTGAGAGTCGGCCATGACCTTAAGAAACTGTGCAGCTCTAAAAATGTTAAGATAGAGTTAGTAAATAGAGGATCATATTTAAAACCAAATAAATGAATATGTATTACCTTCTGTATGTTGAATAATCATTCTTTACACTTGATTTCATGTTTTTAAGTTCATCTAAAACTGCAAACATGTTGATGAACTTCCCAAGTGTAAGCATGTATGCTTCTGACACAAAATCTTTTCTTTTTTCCAGATGACAGAGACGTTTAACTTCTGAAGTAAACCTTTCAATAGCTTTGCTCTGTAAGAAGAGTAAATAAAGTCTGGCTGGTGATTTGAACGAGAATCAACAAATGACTTGTTATGCTTCAGATAAACTTCCAAAATACCTGAAAGTACATGAAGTTCAACAGTTTGTTGACTTCAGGTGCAAGAACTTCAACTGTCTTTTCATATATTTCAACACGATTGGGTTGCTCATTGGATTTTGGTTGAGGAATAGCTCGAGAGCAGCACCGCCAAGTGTACAGCATCACTGCATGCTCCACTCCCTCCTCTAAAAGTTCGTTCTGTTGAAAGAAAATAAGAATGTACTTAAGGCAGAGTAAGTCTGGGCACATGCAATAAATAATACTACTGAAACTTACCAAACTTGCATGAACAGTGGCCTCTTCGATGTACTTGGCAATACCAGTAACAAATCCATTGCGGTCTTCAAAGTTGGTATCAAAATTTACTCTATATACAATTGAGCATGGTTGTGCTTCAATGCATGGCTGTTCATCCGGCAATGTGAGTTCATCCAGAACATCAACGTTGGATAGGGCATCAGACAAAGTCACTTTGTCGGTTGTCATTTTCTGTCAGCAGGAAGTGTCACTGGAAAAGGAAAAACAGGGCAATGCGAATTACCGCCAGACGCATTTCTTGGAAATGTTTAGATCACACTTTCATAATGATAATTTGAAATTTTTGGGCCAAAATTTCTTTTAATAGTAGTACTTAAACATTTCTGACAGATTCTGACGTACTCTAACCTAAGCACCGACAAGCCCATATCATATCACATGCATAAACAAACCACGATGAAAGTAATACCAGTCGGTAAAAAATAAAATAAAACATTTAAGAAACCAATTACCTGGACAAGAGAGAAAATTTGCAACTACCCATGCAACAGAAAACCGTGAAATTATTCGCTGTCACATACCGACTAACCATAAACAAATACACACCCACACCCCACCCATCCGGACCCGGACCATTATTCGCAGGTCGGTGTCAGGTTGAGCCACAGAGCCCAAATCTTCGATTTGACAGTTCAAGAGTTCAAGTGAATTAGGACAAATTACCTCGCAATGGCATCTGAAAACACACCCGAGAGTGATTTGGGGAGCATCGAGTGTTTTCAAAACTATACTGCCTCTGAAGTATTCATTCAGGGGCTGGCAGGTATTGTTGACCAACAAGATGTAGAGGCAATGGTTCGAGCTCAAAAACAAATGTACGGTTATGTTTTTAACAATAATCATTCCTCGATTTTATTTTTCAAAGTGTTGTAAAACCTTTTGATTAATTTTTCCGTTTTTGTTCATTTTAGGCTACAACGATTCGAAAAGACTAATGAAATGCTCACAAACTGTAACGCACTTTCAGTGAATCGTTTGGCTTCAGCTGGGACTGAATTTAAGAAACATACTCAGCTCCTTGTTGACATGAAGAAAGATTTAGACCAAATATTTCGAAGGATTAACAGCCTCAAGGCAAGGCTATCAAATCAGTATCCTCAGGCATTCGCTGGTATGTTATGTACATGTTTGCGAAAGTTGAGTTTAATTTTATTAACATGATAACCAAATTATTGTATCCATGTTAGCCGTCCCAAAACCTGTATCTACTCTCTTGGATGAGGAGGGTGAAGACTTGGAAGATCCAGAGGGTTCCCTGGATGGTAATCGCACTCCAGTAGCACAAATAGCTATGCCATTAGTAGAAGGGGCTGGTCCTGTGACAGGTATTATTTCTGCTCTTTCAGTGATTCCTTGAGTAAAATATCAATTTAGTCTGATAATTTTTTAATAAAATCTATTTTTGTAGGAACTGAAGATTCAAACGACGAGAAAGAAGAAGAGCGAGAAAGAGAAAGACAGTTAAGAAGGGGAGGTACTTTGAAGTCAAATCGGAGCTCTTCAACAGATAGTAACAATGAAGACAATTCATCTCAATGTTCTTCTGATACTGGGTAGTCTTGATGTTTAGGGGCCCCCGTGGATTGTTAGTATGGGGGGATTCTGTAAACTGTGATACTTTATCTTAGCTACTTATATTTTAAAATCTGCTTGATTTTAGATCAAAGCAAAACTTAATTTAACTGTTTCTTTTGCAAGTACGTTATTGATTATCTCATTTGAGTAAGCTTAAGACCCCAAATAAATGCACATTTGAAAGGAAGTTGTCACTTTAAATGCCCCCCGTCCCCTCTCTCCCCCTCTCTCCCATAGGTCCTTCCCCTCCCTCCCTCCCTTCCCCAATGCCCCTGTTCCTGGCATCTGGAAATAAGCAAAGCAAACACAAACAAACAATGGCTTCTGCTTCAAGTACGAGTGCCCGCACCTTATTTATCGATTCAAAATTACGATTAGCCGATAGAGTTCAAGTTAATGTCAACAACATAGCTTCTGTCGCGAGACAAATCAACAGGGGATCTAAATCCAGTGAGGTATTTGGTTGATTTTCAGTGGACTCCTTCATAGGTTAGGTGTCTTGTCAATTTTATAATCACATAAACTGTCGTCTATCCCTTTCCCGTTTAGACACTTTTTCACACAGCGAAAAACATGGCACTTCAAGAACACGCAATGGAAAATACTGAAGAGGTAATTGCAGTTAGGATAGAACTGTGTAATTGCATGTATTCCATTTTAGAAGTATACATAGTAACCAATCTGTTTCTTTCTCAGAATTTGAAGAAACTGCAGCAAAACATGACCTTACTAAACCAGCAATTCGAGTCTATACAACGGAATGCTTTGCTGTTAGATGAGGTGAAAGAACAAGTTCGAGCTATGCAACGGTAATGTTTCAGGTAGTTGTTTCCTCTGTTTGATAGGTTGCAATTGCAATTTGATAAATTACTGGGAGATGTGGTTGTGGAGGAAGGCAAATGTGAATCAACCTTTGGTGATGCATAACTAAAACTCATTATAATTTTAAAAATATTTTCATTCCATCAGTTAATAAATATAATTTATTCAAAAAAGGTAAAAAAAACTCATTTAATTTTGGCCAAAACCTCCGCACGTCTTTGAGTGTTTTGGAACAATGCTCTAATCAGTTGTTTCACTTGCTCAGTTGTAAATTCATGTGCAAGTGGACCTTTGCCGTCTGCCCATCTTTCTTCAATTTCTCGTAGGCTAGCACTTAGAATGTTAATAAGCTCTTGAAACTGAAGCCACCTCTTCACAAAGAGAACAACTTCATCACCATTCTAAAAAAAAAAAATAAGAGGATTATAAGGATGTTATTAGGTAAAAGTGCTCCTAAGATTAGTTGTAAATGTGTTTTACAAGAAACTCATGAACTAATAACCTACTTGGAATAATTTTGGAATTCTTTCTTGAACCATTTTGAAAAGTGAAGTCAGCTTAACAGCTGTATTAGCAGGTATGTCTTCAACACTTGAAACTCTTATTACTAGCTCCTCAATGAATGCATTAGCTAGAACACCTAAGAATAAGAAAGCAATTGTACACTGTGCTACTGGGTACTGGATGGAAAATGTGTTTTTCAGAAAAATATCCTACCAATTGATTTACTATAAACATTTCCAGGAAGCACATTTTGCCATACTGACTGCAGTAATTCCAGTTGGCGCAAACACTGACGTAATGTTCTCTCCGTGTCAGGCGACAGCTCAGAATTTTCTCCTAGAGTAGCCAACCCTAAAAAAAAAACAATTAAAATTTACAAACGGTTCCATAAAGTATTACCTGAACACTCTAAGTAGAATGACTTACCTGACTCTTTCACTAGGTCTAACATTTGCTTCCTCTGCTGTTGCATATGTTTTAGGTATGTGCTAGTACCAAGGTGTCTTAGAGTCTGAACATAATCAACAAAAGTAATTGCCACATCAGCTTTAAGGACATTCCGCAGGGAGGCTTCAACTTCAAATCCAAGAAGCACCAAACGATGAGCAAGGTACATGCAGTTGTTGTGGAACAAAGCTACAAAGAAATAATTTAAAGATTTTTCCATCCATCCTTTGAAAAAACAACAGAAAAGTAGACAGATAAAACTCACCAACTTGTTGAGGAATTGTGCTCAACAACTTTTCATGAATAGTAGGCACAACACATATGTACAATTCAAACACTGACTTTGCTGTTGACAGGTAATACTGATGCAGCTCATTCTCTTGAGCGACACCTTCCTCTAAAATTGTACCCACAAGTTCAAGAACTTCAATGGTTGATTTGCTGTGGAGACCACAAAGTCAACTCTAATATATCTTCTAACATAACTAGAGTACACTAAATAATTAATCACTCACCTCACAAAACACGATGGAAATTGAAAGAGATTTGGATTTAATTCATTTTCTGATTTAATGTTCACATTGGCAAAGGACTCTTGTAGTACTGAATTATCAATTAAAGCATCAGTGTTTGTGTGATCAAGAGTTGCACTGAGAGCCACAGCAGGAGTCTGATAGTCAAATTTTCATGTTTAGCAAATTAATTATTCCGAAGAGCACTGCCTGAGGAATTTGTATCTTACCTGAGGTCCCACTTCAACCATGTCTTGAAGGTCTTTCTTCATGATATCTCGGGCAATTTTTAAATAATTTTCACATGTTTTATTAGCACACAATGCATCAAAATTTTGAACATAGTCCACAAGACTATGGTTTTCTTCTGATAGGAATTCTATAAGGAAATAGTGTTATCTGAGCTACTCCACTGTCAGAAAATGATACCGTAATCAAGATTCAGCACTGAAAACAGTGCCATACATACCAATTCCAACCATGTAGTTGTTGAAAGCAGCTACACGTTCTCGGATGCCGGTGAAGTTTTTAAGCTCTGCACTGGAACTTGGTACAGTTTCCTTTAAGCATTTCTTTATCAGATGGTCTATGAATTCTTCTGAAGAACCAGCACCCAATAAACTTATAAATGACTTGTCATTTTCAAATTGCATATCAAGCTCACCATGCAGGAATTCAAAGCACTAAGAATGAAAAATCAAAGGTAAGATATAAAACAAAAATCATGAGCAAAATATTTAAAAAATAAAATGCTATTACCTTGGTGAGATTGTCTAAAGTAGATAGATAATTTGGCTTCCTAGATGTCATTTTAATTGAAACCTGAATTGTACTGTACAATTCTCCATCCTCAATATTAACAGACCCTTCATTATTAATAAGTGGGAAAAGGATAGAGCGCGTGAGAAAATTTCTAAATTTATTCATCCATGGGTACAGCTCTTCAAGAAGGTGGAGAGCTTGAAGAACCTCTTGCAATTCGCTGAAGCAGCTAGACTTTATCTAGAAAGTAATGATAAACTTTCAATGCTTAAACAATTCGCAAACGTTCCAGATGCAGGGGTGAAAATTAAATTACCTTAATAGTAGATTTGAGAGTATTGGTTGCAGCATCTGTCGTTTCCCATGAAATAAATAAGTAGAGCTTGTCAGTATTTTCTTTGCAGAATTTTGCTACTATTGATGTGAACTCTCTTATCAATGATTGATAAATGTCAAGTTGTCGGGTTTCTTTGCAAGAGTTTTTCACCAATTCCTGATAAGTTAACTAATTAATACAAGGATAGCAAAATGAATAGACATATTGCAAACTTGATTCCAAAAATACCTTAAATGATTGTATAGATTTAGCAGCATCGACAAACTGACCATCTTTGCAAGCATCTTCGACATCTTTCATAGCAGATTCCATTTGAAGTAGTTCTGTGGTGATTGACAACACCGCTGAAGCTTCTTTCAGAGAAACATGAAGATTGCGTAATTCTCCAGTTGAGTTCGCCAGATCACATTTTGTCTGAAAGTAAAGAAAATAGCCACATCGTAGAATACATACGATTACTACCATTAGAATACAGGATCAACATTTCTCACCTGAAACTCAATGCGGTTAAACAAGTTGTTGATTTCGTCTGACATCCTCACAGCCTTATCAAGGAAACTCATAGATTTTTTAAGTAATGGATCAAAGTCAATGAATTTAGTCTTCATGTAATCATAAACTCGGTGCTTAAGTTGTGATACATTCTGAGAGACATCCACAATCCGTTCTTTGAGGTCACTCATTTCAACTTGGCCTAGAAAACAGAAATTTAAAAAATAAATAAGTTGTTAAATGAGTGCGGAAACCAAAACCAAACAATATACATGTCAAAACCAGATGTCATTTGGGTACATTGGTGTAAACAAAGGCATAGGGCGGCACTTGCATCCCTTTAACCGACCTGCGTTGGCCAACACAGCTTCAAGGAAACTGGGCCTCGTCATATTATTATAATTATTTTAAAAAAATAAGGTTAAAATTAATGTGACGAATTGTCAACTAGTTATTAATAAAACCCACTCTTGAACCATAAAAGTGAGGTTTGATGGTCGGTTGGCGCTCTTGCCTGCTGGCTGTTGGTGCCGTCCCATTGCCACTCCACAGTCCCGCCGCACGAAAGTCACTGAGACGGAGTGGAGCAGTTTCGGTGTCGTGCGGGTGGCCAGAAGCCTCAGAGCGGAATCAGAACCTTGATGATTTCAAAGCGTCTATCGCGAATTGTTGTCCAGTGCACGGCGCGTTGAACGTGTCGCGTGCACGCCGTCTCGGCCCCAGTGCGCCGCAGTCGCTGGTTGGCACTCCCTGCCAGCGCCTTGTGTGGGTCGTCGCGGCGCCCACGGCGCACTCGCGCGGGCGTCGGCCGAAGCTCGCCGCGGTCGCGGGTCGCGGGTGCAGGACACGGTGGAGGTGGAGGGGCCTTAATGCACGGCGCTGGATGGTGCTGCGCTAGGCCCGCTGGGCAGGGCAGGGCGGGCAGGGGCAGTAGTGAGCGTCGGCCGCTCAGAGAGGCGAGTGCTCAGGCGAGAGCGGGGTCCTGGCTGTGCGCCGTGGTAGCGCCGCCCAGCGCACGCAGCCGCAGCGCGACGGAACGGTGCGAGGGAGGGCGGGCGTAGCGGGGCGCCCCGCGAGTGTTGTTGTGACTACAGCCAGCGCAGAGTGCGACCGTGGGCCTCCGCCGACACGGCCAAAATGAGGCGGAACGTGAAGCTGCTGCTGCTCGTGTCCACGGCCTGGATGTTTGCCATCTTCTACTACCTGCAAACGTCCAAATTCACGAAGGTCAGTGGGCGCGCGCGAGACGTCAAGAGAGGTTGTGTTTGTTGTCGCCCAGAATGAATGGCGAGTTTTCCTGCGCGGCGGGCCGCGGGGCCGCGGGGCGCGCTCGCGGTGCCCGGCCGCGGTGTCGCCGGGTGTGCGGCGAGCGCGTTGGTCCGCGAGGAGCGGCGGGCTCGGCGGCTCGGGTTTGCTCGCCCGGGATTCCATAACCTCTCCTCCTTCCCTTCTGCCCGATTTGCGCACGGCGCGTACAGGCAGGCCCCGGGGCGGGGCGGGGCGGGGCGGCCGTCGACTTGTTTGTGTGAGTGGCGCGTCCGCAGCTTGGGGCGGGCCGAGTCAAAGTTCAGCCAAGGACAGGGGCACCGTGGACGGGACGGGGACCCTGACAAGCGCGAGTAGAGGACCGGGGCTGCGCGATCAGCTGATCGCTGTTGTGGTGGAGCCCCGCCTACTCGGCCTTACCGAAGGACCCGGCTGGTCCAGTTAG